GGTAAGAAGATTCCTCTCTGCCTTCTCTCACAACACGAAGATGAAGGAGTTTCTGAAGCAAATTCATCAGGCAGCTTCAAATATGGGCTATGTTTGCATGTAAGAAAATACATTTTTTACATTTTTGAAGTTTCACACAACTCTACTTTTGAAGTCCATGAGATGAAACTCCTGCTCTGCATAGGAATTCAAGTTGAAGCATTCCTAGAAGATGGCTATCTAGGTCTTGTTCAAATGCATGCAGGGAAAGAGAGCCCACCACTTCTCTAGATGATTTAGGAAGTTCTTTCTAACATTCAATTGAATTCAGTTTTTCTGTAGCTTAAATCTGTTCCTCTAAGTCCAAATCCTGAAAAGATAGTGAACAGCTCTTTACTTTTGTTATGAGATTCTTTGAGTTATCTAAAGATCACTATTATATCTCCGCTCAGTCTTCTTTTTTCAAAGCTAAATTATTCCTAATATCTGCCACCTCTCTTCATAAGCCTTAATTTCTAGTACCTGAATATCCACATTGTCTTTCCGTGATTCAGCCTTTCTAAACCATTCTTAAATTGCAGTGACCATAATTGAATGTAATGCGCAAGGTAAGATTTGACCAATGCAGACCAAACTGAAATAATTACTTCCCAGAATTTGGAAGCCATTCTTCCAAATTTTGTGAGCCATCCAGCACCCATGGAACAGTCTCGCTCATTAGAATTTCATGCTTTGAAAGACATGTTGCCAATATTATCTTTTTAAGCTGGCAGTAGCTAATCAAAACATTAGATGCATTTGACTGGCAGGAGTAGTTCTCGGGATAGTTACTGATTGATCTTTTGTAATGTGCTAGACTAGAGAATCCTCCTAGATATTGATATAGTTTGTTGTAACTTCCTTTTTTTAAAAGAAAAAACTTCTGTTCCTCTCCTGTCTGCTATTTCTTGAATAGAATAAAAGAGAATAGAATTAGGAATAGGAATAGGAATAGAATAAACAGAGTAGGAAGGGACCTTGGAGGTCTTCTGGTCCAAACCCCTGTGCTCAGGCAAGAAATTCTATAACATTTCAGACAAATGGTTGTCCAATCTCTTAAAAACTTCCAGTTGGAGCATTCACAACATCTGGAAGCAAGTTGTTCCACTGGTTAATTGTTATAACCGTCAGGAAATTTCTTCTCAGTTCTAGGTTGCTTTTCTCCTTGATTAGTTTCCATCCATTGCTCCTTGTCCTGCTCTGTCTTTCAAAACACTTTACAGGTGATCCATAAATGTTTGAACAAGCCACGAATGGTACTCTAGAATGCAATTTATCGAGCCCTGGATATTAGTTCTGTCACTTTGTTGTTAGAGAATACCGAACCAAAACAGGAACTGAGTAACTCTGCTTTTCCTTTCATACTTACAGCAGAGTTTTGCAATCTTCATTTATTAACTGTCATACTAATTATTTTGCTTTTATTTACAACACATCTGAGAAGCCATTTTATTGTTCTTAACTAACCTCGGCTCATTTTCACATTTATACTTCCTTATTTTTCTATTGTTCTGTACAACCGTATGTACTTTTATTTTATGACATGTTCTTTCCGCCTCTTAAGTGTCATTCTTGCTATTAGACCTTCATTAAAGTCAGAAATTGTTTCTTCCATGTGGGTCTCAAAGCTGTTTCTAAGACCCAGTGCTGCAAATTTCTTAGGTCTCTCCTCAGTTTCCATCAGGACCTGCATCTCAAGCAAGATAATCAATGGTACCTTACCATCGTCATTTGGATCAAGCTTAGCTTCCATTCTAAGATTTGGGAATTTGCAACAATTCTTTGTTATAAGGTCTCATTTTCAAGCTCCCCCCTCCCCCTGTGATATCTGTTTTTAGTTTGAACAGTTAGCTATACAGTTAGATTTAAATGCAGCATGTTGCAAGAGAACACAAATAAATTAGTGATGCTGATTTTTTTCTTAGTATCATGCAAACAGTCTTTTTTACTTGCGGAGGGTGCAATCTATTTTACACATTTGTTTGTATGATATATTTATCCACAAATTAATATAGCCAGTGTTTTGCTGCTTCTTTCCCAGTCTCTTGAAGGGGAAGAGTGGTGAGGAAAGAGAAATGCTGATGTATTATCCCAAGTTCCCAACCCCACTTTATGGTGGTTTCAACTACCAAGAAATATTTAACTTCAAAGTAACTAGTGTGTGTGTGTGTGTGTGTGTGTGTGTGTGTGTGTGAGTGAGAGAGAGAGAGAGAGAGGGGAGGGGTGCTTACCTTCATCTGGAGTATAAAAATATTATGGCATTCAAACTTTTGACTCAAGATTCAGGTTTGGATGACATGCCAAGGCACAACACAAATGCCCATGGTTAGTTAAATTAGTAAGAGTTGACTGGTTTGAGGCACAAGCTAATGAATTACATTTTAGCCCAACAGATTGGGTAAGGCTAACTTATTTGGTTCGTTTATGGTTGTCACCGAAGCCCTGATAGTAACTGAAATCAGGGTCATGCTAATCTTGAATGAGCCTGTTGCACGAACAGAGTTTGGTAAAGATCTCAAAACTGCAAGTGTGTGAAGCTCACCTGCCTTTGGAAAGAAATGTTGCTTATCACAAAGTATAATTGCATTGTTGAAGCCTAGACTCCAGCTTTGCAAGTGAAGCAACATGGCAGATTCAGTCCAGCACAGCCTATGGGCTTAACTGATCATGATCATTGAAACACTCAGTATGTTTATGTTCCTTTAAGCGCTACCAAGGAGTCACATCTGCTGCAGTTCTTCCCTATCCAGATGTAGTGCCAGGAGGAAGAGGAGACAAGGCTGTTTTGGGTTCATTTGCGAGTCAAACATGGAAGGAGAGGGGTCCATTACAATTTGTCCATTCCTCAGAACGCACTCTGCTGTTGCTATTAGTGGTTGGATTCTGTCTTTCCGTCCACCTCAGCCTCCGAAAGACAATTTTCAAGTTTGTCCTCCCCTCCTTCCAACTTAGCAAATAAGGTTGCATAATGCATTGGTCTCAGGTACATTTTAGCTAGTTTTTTACTTACAACCACAATTGAGCCCAACATTTCCACTGCTAAGCAAGACAAAAATGAGTTTTGTCCCATTTTGCAACCTTTCTTGCCATAGCTTTTTAAGTGAATCACTATTATGTTGGTTATGCAGTTGTTAAGTGAATCTGGGTTCCCCATTGACTTTGCTTGTCAGAAGGTCACAAAAGGTGCCGTCACTGCAACTATCATAAATATAGTTAGTCCTTGACTTAAAACCACAATTGAGCCCCAAATTTCGGTTGTTAAGTGAGACATTTGAGTTTTCCCCCATTTTATGACCTTTCTTGCCACGGTTGCTAAGTGAGTCACTGCAGTTATTAAGGTAGTGACATGGCTGTTAAGTGAATCTGGCTTCCCCATTGACTTTGCTTGTCAGAAGATTGCAAAAGGTGATCACATGACCTTGGGACACAGCAACGGTTGTAAGTATGAGCCAACTGCCAAGTGTCTGAATTTTGATTACATGACCATGGGGATGCTGCAAAGGTTGCAAGTGTGAAACACCGTCATAAGTCACTTTTTTAAAATTGCCATCGTAACTTTGAACGGTCGCTAAATGAACTGTTGTAAGCCGAGGACTACCTGTACATGCCAGTTGCCAAGCGCCCAAATTCTGACCATGAAGATGCTACAATGGTCCCAAGCGTGAAAAACGGTCATAAGTCCCTTTCTGCCGTAACTTCAAATAGTCATTAAACAAATGGCTGTAAGTCAAAAACTACCTATACAGCTGTGAGGCAACAGGAGGGAAAGAACTCTGGAGTGAGCAACAGGTTGAGGTAGAGCTGTTTACATTCGGGAGAGGTTACATTGGGCAACCTCTTTGCTGTGGGTGTGAGAAAAAGCTTTCAAACTTTTGGGTGTTATTGGCATCGGGTGGCACAAGTGGGTTTGCTACATTCTGGCTGCATGAGTAAGGAGGACAGTCTGCAGGTTTCCGCTTGTGCTCTGGCTACAGGTGACTTCCTGGAAAGAAAACCTTCTCAGGTCTACTGGTCTTCTGCAGCCGGGGTGCCCTGCAGACTGGCCGGCAACCATCTGAACCCCACAGGACACAACGGGTTGGAAAAGGGAAGCAACCTTAGCCCTGCTCCAAAATGCCAGGAGCCCAATTGACTTGCAAACAACACCGAGCCCCGGGTCTCTCTATTTAAGTCCCCAAACTCCCTCACACGTCAGGGCGCTGCTAATCACCCAGCCGTGAAAGGTGACCTTCCCCTGAGGAGAGGGATCGAGCACCGAAGGCTGAGCTGAGGTTCTACTCCGGTTCCACGCGGGTAACTTCTCCATGCGCGCATCTGAGCATTTCAAGGCCTCGGCGGTGCGTTTTGTGCGCATGTGGCAAAAGTATCTGTTGCGTGTGTCGGCCGCCCTCTTCTCTCGCCCGTTGCGAACCTCCAGCGAGTCCGGGCTTTTGATTGACGGCGGTGGGGCGGGTCTCCCCGCGCATCCAATGCCACAGGTGATGTCCCCGGCCCTTCTGTAGGGCGGGGAAGCCCCGCGAACGCCTATTCGGGGACCACTCCCCCCCACTCCAGCAGGGGAAGGGGGGGGCGTGGGTCTGCCGGCCGGCCGGCCTGCCTGTTGCCCTTAGAGACGGGCTTCCCCGGCTCGCGTTCTTCCTCCTTCCCGCGGCAGGAGGCCCAGGAGCGCGGCAGCAGGCGGGCTGGAGGAGGGGGCGGGCGGGCGGGCAAGCGGGCGGAGCCGTCGGGTCTGGCCCGGGGCTGTGGGATCCTCCTCCCGCCTCCCTGCCGCGCGTGGCTCAGACGTCAGGAGGAGCCCAAAGCGGGCAGGAGGCAGCGCCCATCCACACAGCTGCCAGAAGTGTCGGACGCGGCTGCCGGACGGGGCAGAGCCGGTGGCTTGAAGCGGCTTCCTGGCTTGAGGGAGAAGTCGAAGGCAAAGCAGGAAGGAGCGAGAGGCGGGGAGGAAAAAAAAAAGGGGGGGGGGCTCGCTCGCCCGGGGGCGGCGTGGGGGGGGGGGCGCGCGCGCGCTCGCCATGGCCGACGTCTTCCCACCCTCCGAACCCGGTTCGGGTCCCGACGCTGCTTGGCGGTTCGCCCGGAAAGGGGCCCTTCGGCAGAAAAACGTGCACGAAGTGAGGGACCATAAATTCACCGCGCGGTTCTTCAAGCAGCCCACCTTCTGCAGCCACTGCACCGACTTCATCTGGTAAGGACTAAGGAGAGCCTCCGATCCTATCTCCTCCGACCGCCTCCTCTCCCCGGTGCAAGCCCCTTCCCCTCCGCAGTGCCGGCGCCTCCCCTCAGTTCTCGCCTTCCTCCCGCTTCATCTGGCTTCACCCCGCTAGCCTTCCCCACCCCCCAAATGCAGCCCGACTCTTCGCGCCTCCTTTTCCGAGCTGCCTCTGCCCCCGGTCCTTCTCCCTTTAACTCCTCTGCAGATTTCCCCGGGGATTAACTGTCCGGGTGCAGGCAGAGAGAGCCCGCGGTCGGTCCTTTCAACTGGGAGCAAAGGATTTCCCCGGGGAGTTAAGTCCTGGAAAGGCGAGAAAGAGACCCCCGAAAGCCAGCCAGCCACCCGGTGAGAGAGCGGCGGCTCCTCTCCGCTCTCTTCCTTTCTGAGCTTGTCACAACTTTGGCAGTTTTCCCCAATCTGGTTACCTTCTAAAATGTATTGGACGCCAGTGTAGGTTTCTCCCCTGGAAACGATGGGAGGCGATGTCCCACACTTCTGGAGGACAACAGTTTGGGGAAAGCACTTTCTGAGTAGGTGTGTGTGTGTGTTGCTGAGTGTGAGGGAATCTGCCAGCACACCAATGCTTGCGTACCTGTGGGGATAGATATTCATCTCTACTTCCATTGAGAAAGCTTTTGGGCGCTCCTCCAGCTTGCTAGAAAGGCATCCTTGTTGCCTGGTCGCTCTGGAGAGATAATTAAACAGTATTTCACCGTTCTCAAAGGCACTTCCTGCATTGAAATCCTCCTTCTGTGTCAACTCCGCCACTCCCACTGACCACATCAGAAAATGAAGCTAATTCGTGAACCACTTCTGCACTAGAGAAACACACACAAATTCAGGTCGATCCTTTGCATAATCTTTATCAGCATGAATTGACTTTTTTTTTTTTTTTTACTGTAAAAGACATTTTCTCTCTTCCTTCTTTCTGAGAAAGGGATCTTTGTGTAATAATAACCCTTGAAAGAGAGTACCTTTCTAACATTTGTTGCCAGTGTGTTTGGGCTTCCCCAGGATGGATAGATAGTCAGATAGATACATGATAGAGATTAGGTAGGTAGGTAGATGATAGATAGATAGATAGATAGATAGATAGATAGATAGATAGATAGATAGAAACAGATAGACAGATAGACAAACATAGACAGACAGACAAATGATAGAGATGAGAGACAGGCAGACAGATAGATAGACAAACAGGTAGACAAACAGACAAATGAGAGAGACAGACAGATGACAGAGATGAGGGATGGATGGATGGATGGCAACTACACTATATCCCAGAGGAGAAGCTGTTATGTCTATATTCCCACTTGCTGCTTTGCTGACCCTGTAATGTGCATGACCTAGCATGTGCCTTCCAAAGGAGATGTGTGTATGTTGTGTTGATTTATTAGCCTTTAAATCAGTATTTCTCAATCTTGGCAACTTAAAAGTCCACACATCTTTTAGTTGCCAAGGTTGAGAAACATGATTTGGGGCCCCTCCCTTCTATGTAACAACTCCTTTCTTTAGAAGAAATGGGAAACCCGGAGCCCTTCATATATTGCTGAACTACACACCTTTTTGCATCCCTTGTCACTATATCATGGTTTAAATTGCCGGGAAGCCATTGTAAGAGAAGACCAGATGTAAAAAAGATACTTTTCTACATCTGGAAAATTATAGGTTCCTCATCTTTTACTCATGTACTGGCTGACATGCTAAGATGAAGAAACCGACATCTGCTCTCTGCTCATAAAAATACTTTGCCCTCCGTTGCCTACGATTATCTTGTTCATCCATTGAACTGAGTTCATTTCATAAGGGATTGATAAGACTTATTCCCTTTATCTGCCCCTTCCTGGTATGGAATATTGATGAGTAACAACTGTTCAGCACTACTTCCTAAATTAATGATAAAAATTTATTGAGTCCCTGACATCGCACAAATTAATTTTTTCCTCCAACATAGGGATTATACTAATATGCCCAAAAGGCTAATCTAGGCTGAAAAAAAGATAGAAGTAATAATACCATTATATATGAGTTCTATGAATAGTAGCAGATATTCAAATTCAGGACATTGCTACTTTCCGAAATACAGTGGGAACATGGAAATGAGAACCTTGCAAAAAAAAAAACACAAAAAACCCTCCTTAAGTATTTTTCCTAACAATTTCTTCGTTAGACCCATACTTTTTTGGGGGAAGACACTTCTGCCTGACATAGACTTTCTGGCCGCAATCACATGACATACTTCGTACTGATTAATCCACAGTTTACTTTACATAGTGTGATGGGCAGCACATTGCATCATGAGCTAACCATGGGCTAGACATGAATGTGATTGCTTGTTTATGTAAAAGAGAACTTATTTATACAAAACTTACACAACTACTGTGTACTGGCTAGTGAGACTTCCAGCTGTAGTTTTGTAAAAGAGATTCTCTCCCCGCCCCCCAATCTAGAGCGCTTTCATGCTCTACTTGAATTCTGTATTGATTGTCTAGCTAGCCCATTCATCTGCTTTATTATTGGCCTTTAGAGACTTTCTTTCCCCTTCTTCTTTCTGATCTGTGTTGCTCTTTAATGAAAAGCTTTCAGTTCTCACTAGCTACAGTGTTGACATAGCATGCTAACATACAGTTCACATTCAAGTCTTTGTCATGGAACTTGCAAGGTAATGCTTGGACCACCAGACTCTGTCCAACTAACCCTAGGATAGTTGTTATATCCAAAACATTAGGGGATACTCATAGGTTGTAATTGCATATAACACCAAGTCTTGAGTTTTTAACCATGGACTGTTCAATCAGTTGGTCCTGGAAATTAGCAAAATAATCATAGCTCATTGAGTTAGTTTCTATTTAATTTATTCTCAGTGTCTTTTGCCAGAACCCAGAATTGTTCTCCACCTCACAAAAAAAGTCAGGAATAAATCATAAATCCATGACAGACAGTTTGATCTGGTGGTTAAGGCACCAGGCTAAAAACTGGGAGACGGAGTTTTAGACATGAAAACCAGCCTGATAATTTTGAGCCAGTCATCCTCCCTTAGCCCAGCCTGCTTCATAGGGTTGTTGTTGTTGGGGTACAATAGGAGGAGGAAGAAGTGTTGGATGTGTTCACCACCTTGAGTTACTTGTACAAATAATAAAGGCAGGATAGAAATTTAAAAAATTTACATGACAGTTCAGATTTATAATAATGACAATGAGATTTATAATAAAATGACATTTGAGATTTGTAATAAACTGGAGCTTGTACCAGTAGTCTCCATAGTTTCAAACTATGTGTTTTCATTGTAAGAATTATGTATGTTTCTTGATGGATTCACATCTTATCCTAAGTATAGAAAAATCAAAGTATATAATCACTTTACTGAATTTAAAGGGCATGCAACACGACTTGCTATCTCATTTTCTTGTTCTAATGAGGCTCAGTCTAAAAGCAAGACCTATAATCATTTTTTTTTTTACTTAAACATAGCTGTGGTGGATTTGTGAATTGGATCAGAACAGTAAACATGTTCAGGGAATTTTAAAATCTCTCCCACTTCAACCCCAGAAGTTACTTGAAACCAAAAGGTATTGAAAGGGCAAAAATACAGCATCTGTATTTCCTTGGAAAACCAATTTACAACACTCCATGTGTTAATAACTAGTAAAAATGACATGGTGAAAATAATGGATTCCCTTGTTTCTGTTTCAATTAAATTCCAAGTCCTTCAACTCTGTTTTTAAACAAAGACAAAAATAGCAGATTTATCAATTCATGCATAGTTTTGCATCTAATTTATCAGCTGTCATTTGGCTTTTACTCTTCATCATGTTCATTTACAGAGTCCTTAACTAATTAATAGTTATTGGAGGTCAGATCTTCATATTCTAACAATGAAACTAAGGGTTAATTTCTTTTTAATGTCAGTATAAGTTAATAACTGAGCATTCTGTATTTAAAAGAACAGAATGAAAGTTTCTTAATTTTAATTATGGTTTATTATCCTCGCACAAAATTGGTGATACATTAGGTACCAATCACTTTTGCTATGCTTTTTAGGCTAGGAAGAGCACTTACATGAATTAGATTTCTATTCATGATTTGTTGTTCTTAAAGAAGCCAGAATCTGAAAACTGTTCTGTTTTCTTGCTTCTTTTGAGAACAGTAAGCCAGGAATCCTATTAAGATAGTTATGTTAAACAGACTACATAGAGGCTTCCTAATTTGTTTGGCTGTGTATACTGAGGAAAGATACCACAGGTTTCCCATACTCTTAATAGCCATTGTAGAAGAAGACTGTGCTAGTCTGGGTGGAAAGAAATCAAGAAGAGTTTTGTAGCACCTTTTCTTGCTAAGATATTTTATTAAAACTCATAAACTTAAAAGATGCATAGAGCATTTAGAGTCTAGACAGATGTAGGAGTTAATTTGGAGTGAGGCAGGAGGGAAGAAAGGATAAGACAGAATAGTTATGCAAATACAGGTTATATGTCAGACAGATTACAAGTATTTTACCAATTAACAATTACAATCTGTTAAAAATACATTGTGTGTCCTGCGCTGGCATGCCCTGGAAAATGAAAATGATCTGATTTTACGCTGTCCTTGTTTTGAATCCTCATGTCAAAGTTGTGTCCGTTAATTTTTTTCTGCAAATTTTTTCCCTTTGACCTACATAGAATCCAGAGGGACATTGCTGACAGATGATAGCATATGATATTTCACATTAGAAGAAGAGCATGTGAAGGTGCCTCTGACCGTGTGCGTGTGTGTGTTGGGGCCTAGGATAGTGAAGATTTTATTTTATTCATTTATTAAATTTTTATGCCACCCATCTTACTGATACAGCAACTGAGAAGTTTACAGTATCATAAAAAGTAAAAAAAAAAAAAAAAGATGAAGCAATTAAAATTAGGAGAATTAAATAGAAAAGCTGATGTTGGGGAACTTCTCCATCAGCCCTTCCCAGTGTAAGAGGCCCCTGTCAGGGC